AGAAGGGACAGGCCCTTGCTGTGGGGAGGGGGCAGCCTCCGTGCTGGGAGCACGGGGGGGTTCAGCAATGCACGGGGGGCGTTCAGCAACGCCCGTGACTCAAGGACCCGTGGGACCAACACTCAGCGCAGCCCCAGAATGGCACAAAAGGCCAGAAAAACACACCGGGGACATCCAGTCCTGGCAGCGGGGATGGGGCGAGAAAGGGCTCCAGGGAAAGGGCACATCCAGAGGGGAGCGAGGAGCTGGAGGAGGCTCAAGCCCTGCCCGGGGACGGTGACGCCGCCTTACCATGCAGCTGAAAAACATCTCGCTGAAAATACCCATGGGCTCAAAATAAATACATCATCCCCTGGGCGGGGAGAGCAGGAACCTCAGAGATGTGGGGGGACGTGGCAGGGGGTGGAAATAACCACAGAAATAATTTCAGATTTGGGTTTTGCATCCTAGCTGGACAGGATGTCTTTTCCCAACAGGAAAAGACAGCCTTGCCGCACGCCCGATACCTGTACTGCTCCATGTCCAGCTTATTGCCCAGCAGGAGCACGGGGCAGCGACGCTGGCAGCCCCTCGCATGCAGGGCGAGGACCTCCAGGTAGCACTGGCAGCCCTCGAAGCTCTTCCTATCATTGATGCTGTAGACGACGAGGAAGGCACTGGCCCAGCGCAGGTAGCGCTCGCAGTTCCCGGGCCCATCCTACAGGTAAGAGGAGCGGCTGAGCCATGGTCCAGCCGTGGTCCGGCCACGTCTCGCCGGGTGTTTGGCACCACGGGTGCCCCGGTGCCTCACCTGGTCGGCGGTGTCCATCACCTTCAGCAGCACAGGTTGCTGGTCCACCAGCTCCTCTGAGGCGTAGGTGTCCTCTGCAAGGAGAAGGGTGGTTGTGAGGATGGGCTGGGGTGTCCCGTCTTCTCCAAAGCCAAACAAAGCCCTGGATGCTTGGGACACCGTGGAAAAATCCCAGCCCCAATGAGGAGCATCCTCCACCGATGCCTCCCACCTTGGTCCTTCCTGAGCCAACATTATTTTAGGGGATTGGCAGTGATGCTACTAGGCAAGCCCGGCTAGGAGCAGTTATTTCCCCCTGCATGCCACAAGCGTGGGCTCTCGTGGGAGAAGGAGGGAGGGGAAGGAGCCCGGCGCAGCCGTCACTGCACCCGGGGCTCGGCCCTTATCTAAATGCCATGACCTGGTGAGATAAAGCGAGCTGGGGGCTTGACACGGGGGCTCTTTCCCAATAAATCAGGCAAAAGGAGCACCCCTTTCTTTTGGAAGGAGGGCAGGCAGGGAAAACCGCGGAGCCGTTCCCCGGGGAGAAAGATGACTTCTCCCAGCCGGATCCTAACGGAGGCGTTTCGGAAAGGTTTTGACGTGGGAATATGAAACCGCATTCCCAAAAAAAGATCTGAGGAGGAAAGGATTTATCCTTTCCTAAGAGTCACTGAGTTATTAGGGGCTGGAGTCGGTTCCTGGACAAGGTCCATATCTCCCGAATGTCCCCGATAAATCATTTATGGTTCTTCCCTGCGCCCTGGAGTCAGGCCTAGGAAAATAGTTATTAATTACTCAAATGAGTGGGGGAAAAAAAAAAAAAAGCCCAGAACGGCTCGCTGCAGAGCGCAGCCCCCAGGGCCGCCTGCTCTGTGGCCCCCGCTCGCTCCCTGAGCCCTTGCCCTGCCCGACACCCCCAGGAGCGAGCCAGAGGCACGAGATGCTCCCCACGGACCCCCAATAATTCAGTTTTCAGTTTATTGGGGGCGATGCGAGGAGCCGACGTTCCCTCGTGGGACGTGCCTGCAGAGAGAGCTCTGCTTTCACCTCTGTTTTTACAGGCGGGG